ATGTTTTATTTGCATAGACAAGGAAAGATGAGCATATGTTTTACTTGTAGACAATAAGGTAGTCTCTTTTGGAACTAATGTTGGGCTGTTCTAGGAGCTAGGCTTGCATTGTGCAGACAGAATGAGAAAGAGGGTGGCGCTAGCTGCTGCTTGCTTGACTTCAGTAAATTAGCCACAGCAGCACTAGCTCCATTTGATTCGCGGCACTAGCTTAGCTAGTACACCGTCGTACCAACGTGGTTACTTGCAAGCATCATCTCAGCTACAACGTTCATGAACCCGGCCGCACACACACGCCCCATACATGTGTCGAGGATGCGTTAACAAAGAGAGATGCTGGATTATGTCGGGCGACACACCTGATTCTCTCTCGAGCCCTAAAAACACACATACACCTCCTCCTGATTCTTCTCCAGCGCGAGATCGAGCATATGATGTATAGCCTCGAGTAGATGAAGTTCGCGTGTCTCCGCCGCGTCCGCGACCCATAGACGAGCATAGCTACTTGCTGCTGCGTAGGCCATGTTGGGGGCTGCATGCGGACCGATCGAATCCAACACGCCCACGAAAAAAGTGGCCGACCGAGCGCATCCAACACCGCCCCATCCCATGCCATGCAGGCACCAGGCAGCATCCAGCCGGCCGGACGAGTCCCGGTTCGGCGCGCCCAGACTCCAACGCGCGCTCCGCCGAACGTAGCCACGCGACGATGCCGCGCCTACACGGCTACGCTAGCTAGCTCTAGCGCACCGAACGACCGACCGATCCGATCCGTAGTCACCCATGCATTCACCGTTCAGTCAGTCATTCACCCACTCTCTCCACGTGGCCGGAGACCGAAGGACTCCCCGGCCCCGATCGACGACCGCGCGTGGATGCATGGATGGCGTGGGTCGCCGTCTCCACCAGGCAGCTGCCCGGCAGGCCGGCACCCCTGGAGAGCGACGCCTGGCCGGGGCATCTCTCTAGCTCCGTCGCCACTGCACGCCAACCACGCCAAGCGTCCGGCCGGCCCGGTGAGACCTCGACACACATGCGAGGGACCGACCGAGTCCAACGGGAACATGGGTCGTGTTAGGTGTAACAGTGGCGACCGACCGTACGTGATCCTCCTGCCCGGCCGATTGACCGCACTGATCCACCACTGCGCCGTCAAATCCTGATTCGCCTTTCCGAGGCGAAACTTCCGTGTGAGCTGCACCGGGACACCAGAAACCGAACTAGTCGTGTGGTGGAGCCTGGAGCGGGAGGGGACAGCACGGCTCCATGTCCATCCGACCGAGGGACACCAGCGGGATGGCACGCAAACGACGATCTCGTCCTGTACAGGTCACTCCGCTTGTAGCCCTAGTTCGCTTTGTGCTCTGCGTGTCTGACGAGAAGATTGGTCGAATCAGCTAGCCCTATGACTTGTGACCTCCGTTCGCTATTTATTTTTCACAAAAAAAGGGAACCCACAACCAAGCAGCACCATTAACATGAGTCCATGGACTGTTCCTAGGAGTCGTTGCAGTCCTGGTGGGCGACATGTGGTCCGCCGAGCGAGCGAGTGATCGACCACACTGCTGGATCGGTCGGTGTCATCGACTCACTATCACACGAGGGACATGCTCCAGTAGAGAAACCTAAGGGCATGTTTGGTTTATAGGATTTTCAAAGAAATTCTAAAGGAATCAGAATCCTATAGTTTAGGACACTGTAGCAGCGTTTGGAATGGAGGATTCGTGAGTTCCTTTTAAGAGGAGAGGCTTCTGCAGATGCTCGTTTTAAAGAAAAAAAAAGAATCCACTCAGATCTCTGGTTTTGATTTCCTTCGAGTGCGCAGTGTTACTTCCTACGTTTTTCCTGTGTTATGGATTCCTGCGTTCTAAACACCCCTTCAGTTATTTCCAGCGTTTTTCTTTTTCTCTATTTTACCACTGCACACTCACTCCATTCCTACGTTTTTTTCTATTCTCGTATTTTTTATTCCTGCGTTCCAAACAGGCCCTAGGTTTGCACGCTGGATCCTGACAGGTACTGCTAGTTAGTTATCCACCGTGTGCTAATCACTCATCAAGTGGCCACAAGAAAACCGCATATGACGTACTTGCATATCTTCTTCTGATATTCACAAGCTTTTTTAATGACTGGACTTCACGAGGTCAGATGCTCTGAGAGTCTTGAGATGCCAGAAGCAGGGTTCAGCTGCAAGTTCTGGCTTCGCTGTAGATGTAGATTATGGTCTCGCTGCTCTACCAGTGCTCTGCCTCGGAGACAACTTTGAATTCGTGTCCATCGTTCCTGTTTGCATAACTCTGTTTTCGCGTATTGCCAACTGGGCAGGGAACCGTGCCTTGACTATCCCAAATTGACTCAAATTCTGCTCCAATTTGCATCCTGAACAAGGGACATTATCTGCGGACAAATCGACCGTGCTGTGTCCACCGGGTCAAAGTCCGCAGTCCTGAAACAAAATCAGCACTAAAGATTTGCCTAAGACTTGAGACGGATCAGGCAAAGCAGCTTATCTGAACGAAATTGTCCATGATAATATAATTAATAAATAAAAGAAGTAACCAAGAAACTAATGGGCGAAGGCCAAGCAGCGCTTCTATTTGGTCCAAAACCACCGGCTGCGCTGCGCACCTGCCTGTTGTCTACACCTCACGCTTTGCCGATCGAATCTCTACTGTCGTGAACCGGCGGCCGGCTTCTTCATCTTCAAGCCGCCTCCAACGTGGCTTATCTTCAGGCAGGCTGCGCCACGGTTCTCGAAGAACACAGCACTGGTACCATCAGCCATCAGGGCCTGGTAGCTGCCACAATGGAAAGGCTCTGCTGCTGCTCTGACTTAGGAGACACCAGACACCTTTGTGTTGGATTCGAGCCTTCCGTTCATTCTTGTTGAATCCTGATTGTACTCTGTCTTGCCACCATGTTGGGGAACGGGCTTCGACATCTCAAATTGACAAAATTCTGCTTCCATTTGTGCCTGAAGCACAAAGATATTTCCTGCAAGGCAGCATGAGCAAGCAAATCTCTGCAAACACAATCAGCACGAAAGGATGTGTCTAAGACTTGGCGGCCTATCTGTTCACGAAATTGCCAAAAGGAAAACCATGCAATTCACAGAGAAAGGCGAAGCAGCTATCGCATTTGGTCCAAAGAAACACTGGCTGCCAGGCTCGGCACCTGCCACTGCCAAGAAGCCGTCTGCAGTCTGCTGCGTCGGCCGACTTCTTCAGCTTCAAGCTACCCCCCAATGGCCCAATCTACTCATGGAACGTCACGGCTCCGCTCCCTAAACGAAAAGCACGCAGTACTTGCACGATCAACGGCTGACCTCATGTGTTCCTGACCTGTCGTTTCTTGGTCGCCAAATCTCTTTCGCTCAAAGCCACGGCGAGCTGTCTGTCATCTGTGTTGACTTTGCACGGAGGCGCAAACCAGTTGTTATCTTATCTACCGGCGATGCCGTGCTGTGCTCACCGCTGCTTCTGGACTCGCAACCGAGAGTTGCGTGCTGTGCTCACCACTGTTTCTGGACTCTCACAACCGAGACTTGCATAGACTTTGTCTCACCTACTGCGTACATGCAAGGTACGGCACACGAGGGATCTTGATGTGACAAGTGCCCAGGCCAATTTTGCTTGCGCCTCTGTTCTGTTCTGAAATCTGCGCTGGTTGCTGTGTTTGCCATCACAAATTTTCCCTCCTCTTCCTCTCAAACGGAAAGTCTGGCAACTGAAGTTACCTATCTCCACAGGATTGAGGATTCCCTCCGTGTCCGTGAGCCTAAAGTTTTTTTTTTTTGAAACTTCCGTGAGCCTAAAGTTGCCGATCCGTGCAGCCGACAGAATGTTCACCACGTAATTTCCTCACGCTACCACCTCTAGTGGACTAGTGGAAACAGGAAACAGAAGGGCAATGTTCATCCGTTATTTCCTCACGACATCCCTCGGCGAGAAAGGCGCCAGAACAGCAATGCTCATCCGTTACGGTGCATGCCAAGACCAAGAGAGATGAGTCCCTACACGGAGCTATAGTTTCCAAACTGGTGGTGTGTGATGCGAGCGCTGCAACCAGCCACCTCAGGTGTTAACATCACGATGAGCATATCAGGACATGCATACGCCAGCACAGAAGTGAGCTCGCTCTTGTGGAGAGAAAAAAAAAACGACGGACCCCGGGTGCAGCATAAATGCATGATTATCCTGAGATCGAATCGATCCGATTTCGACAGCTTACCTGATTCCTCTGGACTCAAACTGAGCTAAATAATGGGGGAAACGCACAAGCATGCGTGAGTGTATGCGTATGGGGATTATAGATTTATAGTACAGAACGGGGCTAGAGAATAAGACAAAGCGATTCAGTGGCGACGAGAACAGTCAGACTGCATTATCGAGGGTCACCATCGGGAATTTCATCAGCTGATAGAGGCCGGATGACGGGTTAAAAAATAGGATGTTCTTAATACTCCAGCATCAGAGACAGTATGTCCTCAGCATTTTAGCATCATCAATGACGACTCGGCCCAGCTCAGCTAAAGGCCCCAACAACAAAATCTGCTTGCTGAAGTTAATGGATTGGGAACTTGGTCTCTCGGCAGTCAGCTCTGTGACTACAAAACTCATGACATGGCAAGACAAACATCGGCTATGAGTCCCATTCACATCCTGATGAACTGCGTATGGGCATACCTGCACATTCTTTTCACAAGGCATGGAAACATAAGTGTTGTCAGGACCCTAGTTCACAGAAAGAGTGCAATGCTGAAGAATATTTGAGCCAGCAAAAGGGACATTAAAGCCATGTATATAACAAAGTGTTTTTCAGCGAACGAACAGTGTTTTTCTCTCGCAACAAATCAGCATAAGCATCAACATAAGCCAAATTTCAGCGAAACGAACAGGGCCGATGGCAAAAGCAAGCCCCCCTGAAAATACAAATCTGACCTACCAGATGATGTTCCCTTTGCTCCTTGGTTTAGTTTAAAATGGAGTCTAGGTGCCACCTTATGCTTCAGACTTATCTGTGGATCTCAGTTTTCTGTTCATGTTGTCAAGATAACCCTGTTCAGGAATGGATCATCGTCAGTGTCACTAAAGCAGCTTGAGATGACTTTAACTGAATGAACTATGTATCATTTGTAATGAATTGAGTTGAAACATGAAATCTGTAATAGCAATGTAAAGTCACCCTGGTATTAGGAGTATGTACCTGGAGTATGCAAACTGCAGCAAATTTATCTGTCATTGTTTTGGCCTCATCCCGATTTTTTAGATTCAGAGGATGCAAGAGGGCTTCTACACACTGCAGAAAAGCACAAGAGGAAGATCAAATGATCAATCAAAGCACTCCACTAAAGAAGTTCCTCAAAGAGAGATGGAAGGAGAGTAAAACGTGTATATTAAAGGAAGGAGCAGCACTATAATGAATCTGATAATATGCCTAGCATGATACAACACAACAACAACAACAACAACAACAACAACAACAACAAAGCCTTTAAGTCCCAAACAAGTTGGGGTAGGCTAGAGTTGAAACCCAACAGAAACAATCAAGGTTCAGGCACGTGAATAGCTGTCTTCCAAGCACTCCTATCTAAGGCTAAGTCTTTGGGTATATTCCATCCTTTCAATTCTCCTTTTATTGCCTCTACCCAAGTCAACTTCGGTCTTCCTCTGCCTCTCTTCACGTTACTATCCTGACTTAGGATTCCACTACGCACCGGTGCATCTAGAGGTCTCCGTTGCACATGTCCAAACCATCTCAACCGGTGTTGGACAAGCTTTTCTTCAATTGGCGCTACCCCTAATCTCTCACGTATATCATCGTTCCCGAACTCGATCCCTTCTTGTATGCCCGCAAATCCAACGCAACATACGCATTTCCGCGACACTTAGCTGTTGAATATGTCGTCTTTCGTAGGCCAACATTCTGCACCATACAACATAGCAGGTCTAATCGCCGTCCTATAAAACTTGTCTTTTAGCTTCTGTGGTACCCTTTTGTCACATAGGACACCAGACGCTTGCCGCCACTTCATCCACCCTGCTTTGATTCTGTGGCTAACATCTTCATCAATATCTCCGTCCCTCTGTAGCATTGATTCTAAATATCGAAAGGTATCCATCCTAGGCACTACTTGACCTTCCAAACTAACATCTTCCTCCTCCCAATTTTTTTAATGCAATACCACAATGTAATGTAACATCCACATTCAGAAGAAAAGTGCCTGTGCACCTATTAATTCTGTTTCTCATGTATCAGCAAGAAAGTACAGAGAAGAAAAGAGAGTTCACCTTTGAGGTGAAATTTTCATCCCAATATGTGTAGGACAGATCATCAAGTTTCCCTGTTTTACAAAGCTCTCCAGCAAGAAGCCTTACTTGGACTGCCTGATTTACAGACAAAAGAGAACATTAAAAAACATTAAGTAGAACAAAGGGGAATTATACATGAGCATGGGCACTTTACATCAGGACTAGGTTGACCGTGGAGGTTGAATGGATAGCCCACAATGAACCCAGCTATGGAATACTTCGAAACCTATCCAAGTAAACAAAGAAGGCATTAGTGATTACATCTTTCATTCCAATTAAACTGAAACTAATCTTGTAAGTGTATAAGGCAAACAAGTTCAAGAAGTAACAACTGAAAAAACTACGACAAATCAGTTAAAATGCTGATCTATGCATAGAACTTTGCATTATTGCAAATAAATGGCAATGCCAACTGCCGAACCTAAATATTTTTTTTTGGGGAATAAATGATAAATCAAAACGAATTTAGTAAAAGAGAATGATGGTGTGATGCACAATCACTCATTATAGGATGATGCTGTATGACATATTGAGTACTCAATCTTTTGCTAAGGACCAATTTTTGATATATCCACAATATATATGATAACAGAAAGTGAACAGGTATTTTCAACATACCAATGTTTTGAAATCATCTGCCATCAAGTTGATGTTTGTCTTTGTCCGACACAAAACACTGCAAGATTCATTCAATAACGGAACTTATAACAACAAATAATGATACATGAGTCTTTTTGTATCAAGTTATAGATTTGGCTATAATGAAACTAGATATAGGAATATAGCCAATATCCACAAAACAACACATTATCTAGTTGAACTCGTAATTCAAATCTTCTCAGATTTGACTTTGTGACAACAACAGAGGCAATTATTGCAAAACTCCAGGCAAGTACAGGGCAAAAAAAAAAGGTTTAGACTAACACAACCCATCAGAATATAGTCTGACCTGCTTGGCCCAGCCTGATGGGGCAAAGGGCAAACTGATGACGGTTGGGTGTGTTATACATGAAAAATAATGAATTAATACACAGATGGTTTGGTAACCATGTGCTTATCTTGTACTACTAAACGACTAGAAGTCTCTTCTGAGTACTTGCATCTCTATTTCTAATCTACACATAGAGATGAGTAGACATGTGGTCCTTGAATCAAATCAAATATATGTGTAAAAGAAACGAAACGCCATATACTATTTTTGGTATTTTGAGTCTTTCTTTTACCCAACAAATATGATAATCTATAGTTTTAAATTTTTTATTATTTATGCAGTTCTAAAAAATTGATGCAAATAAAGTGGTTGATTAGACCAAATGCATTCCATAGGATGTTTCAGAGATGCACACAATATCCAAAAGAAGATCATAATAGGCTAGCACCACATCTACTACTCAACAATTCACACCATTTCTGTCCCTTCAAAATGCAAAATACAAATAAAACACCTCGCTCCAATCATTGAATACTATCTTGAGTAAGTTAACATCTGAATCGGTACCACAGTGCAATTTAAGCAGGTCGAAAAATTGTAGACTGAAAGAATGCACCATGGAATATAATATTCTTGCACACACATTCATATTTCAACCTGCATCTGCATCTTGAGATGGCAAATATAAGCTTATGTTGGATTACCACAGTGATTTCACTGAATATGTGCCCTACACAAGTTAACAAGAAACAAAATCAAACCTTTAAACATAGCACGGCAGCAATTGTTGGAGGTGCTTACCTCAGAGGCAAAGCGATCCTGTTCTTCTCATCGGAGACGGCCACCCCGACGTACTTGCTGCCAACGTCGAGCCCGAGCAGCCGAGCCGCCTTATCCTTCGACCCGACCTCCAGAACCTTCCGGAATAGCTCCTCCACTTGCAGCAGCCTCATTGTATACCTCCGCCGGAACAACGCAGTGGGCGATAGGTTCGGGGCGACGGCAGCACAGCCGCGTAGGCAACGGCGAGCGCGGACGGCGGTGGCGGCGGAGTTAGGGGAAGGGATGCAGACAAGAAGTGAAGGAACTGAAACTGCCAATTTGGACGGCCTAGATTTAGTAGGATAACCATCTGGGCAAGTACAAACTGCCCCACCGGGCCACCTCGCTAGACAAGCGCCCCGCTCAGCTTTCCCGTCCCTCTGGCTCTCCCTTCCCCGAGGCCCCTGCGCGGTCGTTGCGGACCGCAGGAGTGAAGATTCCATGGCGGAGGAGGTGGCGCAGGAGCAACCGAGACCCACGGCGCCACTCCCGGTGCGCTGTATTGTCAAGCTAGGTGCTCTCTCGCGCCCTCCGCAACGACTGCTTGGCTCCTTGTCGTCCGTGCCTTTGTAGCTCTGTGTACAGTGTACTCCTCTCTGGCATTGGTCGATTTGAGAAGCTACGGTGAGGTGGCGCAGGTGGAGCGGCCATTACGAACAAGGGCGAGCTGGAGAGCATCAACGAGGAGAACCTACGGTCGGCATGTGCGCAGCTGCGGCATGCCATGTCCGAATCTGACGGCGATGGCGCCACGGAGAAGGTTCTGGGGATGGACTGGAGCAGGAAGCCCGGAGATCCGGCCGACCCGGCCGTGGACGCGGAGTGGATCGCGGGGATGGCTGGGCTGGGGCTCGACACTAACTTCATCGTCGTGCACGGCGCTGGTATTGTTCGGACTCTGAATTGACTCTTACAGTCTTACTGAATTGACTCTGGCTGTCTGTCTTACCCCTGTTATAAAGTTACAAGCTGAACTGGTTGATTTGGTGTGGGGTAGACCGGTAGACAGCACATGACTGTTCATATTCTTTTAGATAGAACTTGGAAGTTTGTAATGCCATTGTAATTCGTGCATTATTTAGCAAGTAACATGGCAGAAATGCCTCTCAGTGGAAGAGCAACCGTGCACATTGGACTGCCCAGCTCAGTTAAACACAACTCAACAGTAGTTTCAACTTCGATTTTATGGGCTCTAGGGTCTTCCTGAGAGATATTTCTAAGAAACTGGAGAAATTAATCAATTTATTTATTACTTACAAACTATTATTAGACTGGTACATTTTATTAAGGTAGAGCCTAAAACAATAGTGGATAAATATAGTTTTAGATCTTAGGATACTGAGTTTGTGATATTCTGCTTCAGGGTCTTTTGGCCACTTTCAAGCAAGTAGATCCGGAGTTCATAAAGGAGGGTTACATTCGACACTGGTCAAGGCTGGCTTTGTCGCTACAAGAATTTCAGTGAGGCCAATTCTGGAATTCTATTTGACGAGGATAACTTGAATTTTGATGTCTAATATTCTTGTCCACTATCTTGTCAAAATGTTTGTGCTTCTCTGATAAATATTCTGGAAGCATATTCTAATGGATTTTTTTTTTGTAATTTAGGTGACATCTCTCAACCAGGAAATTGTTAGAGCCCTGGCAAGAGGTATGCAGTTTTTTAGGTTACTTGTCCATGTCTTTATTTCCATGTGGTATTATGCCATGTATTAGTCATGGCTACTTCTTACTATGCTCAGTATTTTGTTATTTCTCATATCGATGCTGCTTAGGCACTCAGAATTCATGATTATGTTTCCCCCTTGTCTGCAGTATGCTATGCTATGTTTCCTTGTGTTTTGTTTGAACATATAATTAAGTTCTTATTTGACTCATGGGCCAATGCAAGAATGTATCATCATTTGTCATGAACCATTTTTGCCTGTATCTGCAAATCTTAATGAACTTCCAACAAATCAACTGGCGTATTTGCTTGGCCCTAAATACACCTTGAATTGTTTTTACTAGATTGTCAGTTAGAACCAGTGGTCGTCACAAGACTTATGGAAATGCATATTCTTTTGCAGAAGGAATACCATCTGTTGGGATGTCACCATTTGCTTGTGGGTGGTCTACCAGGCAAAGAAAAGTGAGCAAACTTGAAACTATTGCTTTCTTGCATATCATTCTCTGTTTTGGAATTAGACAGCTGTTTTACGTCCATACCTGATCCTGTTAATATGCATGTGCAGCTTGCATCCGCAAATGCTTCTCAAATAATTCAGTCACTCCATGCAGGCTTTGTCCCAGTAAGTTGTTGTACCAAAGATTTTGAACTGCTATTCCTTCAGAATTTCATATTTATCAAAAAGAGGACCTGGTGCAGTGGTAGAGTCTCTCCACTTGCTGCCTGGAGATCCTTGCAAAATTAAGCAAGGGTAAGGATGTATAAATATTCTCTTCTCTAGAACCCTTCTTCTGTGGGAGCTTTTGGCACTGGGTACGCACACCTGAAGTTGTTGTTAGCATGAGTGATATAGTTAGTCACCCCCATATTTGACAGCATATGGTGCTACTGGAATATGTATCATATTATTAATTATTTCTTATGCATGCAGTATTTTTATGCATCACTTAATCTAGATTGTACTGGCAGTCTGGTACTCTTGATAGTCCTTTTCTGTACTGCACATTGAACGATAAAACAAGTCTTATATGAATTATTTAGTATTAATTATAATCAAGCATTAGATAGTTCCATGTGTTTTCTCAGATCTGCAGCTGGAACCTAAACATGATTGGAAATTAATATAAACTTTTGCTTATAGCATAACACCCTTGTTTCTTGCAGGTTTTGCATGGTGATGCAGTTCTTGATGAATTACTGGTGAGTTTTCAAATCAAAGCATGTCTACATTCTTATTTAGATTTTATGGACTATGAAGTTAATTCATTTTATTCAAACTAAAATTGATCTTATCATTAAATGACCAGGACTGTACCATATTGAGTGGGGATGTCATTATACGACATCTTGCACAGCTTCTAAGTCCGAAATATGTTGTATTTCTGGTACTGTTACCTTCCCTCCTTTACAGCTTTAAAAGTTCTCTGTTATCGATGGAAGATGGTTTGTACACTGTATTCTTTAATTGCTTGTACTGTCTTCCTTGTGATACTGATAGTTTGTTGTGTTATCCTTTGCTCCCATTCATATACTTCAAATGTTCCATTCATTTCTTTCTATGAAGCATTGACTTTTGTATGGTTCTCTGAAAATTGAGCTGTAGACAGATGTCCATGGAGTATATGATCGCCCTCCAACTGACCCAAATGCGGTACTCCTGAGAGAAATAGGTTAGTATTCACCTGGTTGATTTTCATCTGCCCATAAATATCTAGCCTTTACTGTTTTATATGTATTAGTGATTATGGGAGGAAACAGGACAACGAAGGTAATGTGATTGCCATCATTTAAGTTCTAGCTAAACCATGGAAATATGCTTATTCAACAAATTCTAGCTGACTTGTGCTAGTTAACAGAGGTGGATGACAATGGAGGCTGGTCGATTGTAAAACCTGCATTGCTGCAAGGCAACACTAAAGGAGGTATTGTGTCATATTCCTTTTTATTGCTGCGATTGTCAAATGATCCTAGGCCCTAAGACATGTTTAGTTGTACTGAGGAGTTATGTTCCTTCCAAGTACCTGATTCAGGTAGTTTACCAGTGACAACTGACAACTTTCTCACTGACAACCCAGGATAACTGAATAAGCATTGCCAACCTAGTTTTTAGTCACCATTGAGTATGTTCTTCCATATTTTCAATAACGTATGTTCTTCCACCAATAACGTGCTCCTAGTGAAGGTGCAGTACTCCAGAAGCCAACTGTAGGCTCACACTATGGTTTATTAGGCTGAGGACTAGCGACAATGATGGCCTGGTTATATTTCTTCTAAACTGCTTGTTGTAGCCTTGTCCCTTGTGTTTTGTAGAGTAAGATATCTGTTCTCATGTGATGCAGTGGAGATATCAGTAGCAGCACATGACACCACCGGTGGGATGGAGACCAAAATACTGGAGGCTGCAGTGATAGCTAGGCTTGGAATCGATGTGTATATTACCAAGGTGAGAATGCTCTGCTTCCATTTTTCCATTTTGAAACATGGAAATGGCCAAATTTTAGCATTTTTTTCTGAATGGATATGACCCAAGCATTATTCAATGTATTATGTGATGCAGGCTGGAACAGAACACTCGCTGGGGGCCTTAAAGGGAGATGTGAGCACTGACTCGGAAGATTGGCTTGGAACTATTATACACTCTTCCAAATAGATTTCTTGTTGCAAAACATTCGGACTGGTTACTGGCGATTATCTGTTATATTATATGAGCCGTGATGAGCCTTGGGCTTTTGATGATGATTCAGCACGGGTCTATTCCCAACTGTGATCGTAGTTTGGTTCATAAGCGTCAGCCTGATGTTGCAAGTACTGTTCAGTAACTTTGTTTTGTTTTTCGAAAAGGCTAGGTAGTGTGCCCGTGCATTGCTACGTGATGACTAATATTTTGTACTAAAAACATACGGATCGCACAATAAGATAATAATACTGTAAAAATTAAATACCAACGTTAAAGTGACATTTAATCCAAAAAGTAAAGTTTATGAATTTAACACAGTCACGAAGTGCGCACCGTCGTAGGCTCACAAACTCTACTTTATAGATCTTTTCGTGACGCGGCTAAGATAATGTTTTATATTGACAGGAAGAAATCTTCGATATCCATATCTTTCGTGCTCACGAACTAATGACATTAATGCAACAAAGGAAAATACAAATGAGCTATCCTCCTGAATGCGCGGAACCAACGCCACTACGATCGTGCCGTCCCACGACCACTGGTATGGTGTTGTTTAGCATTATTGTTCATTATTATCGCTAACTTGCTTCGTTAGTTTTATTCAAGTAGTTTATGTTTGTAATTATGCAGGTGCTAATTAGGTTGATCCCACATTGGCACATGAGAAAAGTGGAGAAAGTCAACAAAACTCATGGTTTTGAGAACATACACGTGTAATAGTTATGAATGGTTACAAATTAAAATATTATGAACAAAACACTTAAAGTGTCATTTTTATAACAATAATATAACACATGTTCAATTTTCATTATGCCATCACACAAGTGTATATACAACATCTTCGTGTAGAGTCTGATAAATCATTTAAAAATACCTAGGAACAGCAACAAATATGGCATTAGTGAGATATTATTTGTACAATATAAATTGAATGGAAAAATGCATTGTATGCGTTAGTAATGTTCCGTTACCTCGCCTATGGCGTTAGAACCTCCTTAAATACAATATTCTTCGTGAAGGTTTCATCCGCTATTGGGGTCTTCTTATCCTTATCTTTTTTATTTGACTCATTCTTATTTTTTCCCTCGCCATTCCTTTTAGCATTTTTCTTCTCTATCTTTTTGGCCTCCTCCTCTTGTGCCTCCACATCAGGCGGGAGGGCAAGGATCTTAATATTGGCTCTTGACGTGGCTCTAGACATCGCAACGTACAATTGGCCGTGAGAGAACACCGGTGCGGGTACGTACACACCCACGTTCGGGATAGTTTGGCCCTATGACTTGTTGACCGTTATGGCAAAGCTCAGCCTGATAAGAAACTGCTTCCTCTTAAACTGGAACGGGAACATCTCGTCATCAGACGGCCATAGCAGTATTCGAGGAAGGAATACCCGCTTCCCAGCATGCTACCCCACCATGATTTCCGCGTCGATTGTATTTCTTCGAAACCCCCGCACCACCAGCCTTGTACCATTGCATAGCCCATTAGCAGGGTCAATATTCCTAAGCAATATGACAGAACACCCGAGCTTGAGCTTCAAGACGTGTGGAGGCAGCCCGTTGGGGGTCAAACTGTTAAGGAACTCTGATGGATAGTAGTTATGTGGATCATCTACCGCGGAGTCAAAACTGTGATACACCGTCTCGCTGTCCTGGAACATATCAATCATTTTCATATTGATCATATCCACCCAATCGTTACGTGTAGATAAAATCGCTCTGGTGGTGATGTAGTCTTTTGTCTGCCATGTTTGCATTTAGATCTGGAAAGATGATGTCGATCAATGTATGAAGATCTTTCTCGGCATCGCCAAAGTACGGGACACATATCTCGTCTGGAATACGTACATTGCCATCTCCATTAACCTCTTCCGTTCCACCACCAATGCGCAACAGATAATCTGCAAACCACGGGTCACTCTGAGCCCTCATGTTGCGGACGAGCTTTAGGTGGCACATGGAGTCCTAAAGATACGACCTTCGTAGAGAAGCATAGACTATTTGAGCTCTGGATCCTTTCCGCACAACAGGGAGGACCTATCTAAAATCCCCACCAAGGACAATAGTCTTCCCACCAAACAGTAGATTTGACCGGCCCATTATATCCTGTAGGTTGTTGTCTAGTGCTTCCACATTTTGCCTCTTTGTCATAGATGCCTCGTCCCAAATTATGAGAGCTGCTTGCTGCAGCAACTTGGTAGTACCACTCTGTTTCATAAAGCTACAGCAACCACCCTCATGAAGAGTGAGGGGTATCTTGAAACGCGAGTGGGCCGTCCTCCCACCTGGCATTATGGCTGCTGCGACTCTAGATGTAGTTGTAGCCACGACAAGCTTGTCCTGGCTACGTAGTTTTGCGAGAAGTGCCCTATACAAAAATGTCTTTCCCATCCCGCCAGGTCCATCCACAAAGAACAGCCCGCCTTGTTTGTTGCAGACAGTGACCATTATCTCATCATAGGCAGACCTTTGCTCGGCGTTGAGTGAGTCGCACAATAGCACATCTTCGGGATTCTGCTCGACACTAGCTTCCTCAAATATCTCACGAGGAATATGGCTGGCATCGTCGTATGAGTGATCAATATCTGGAAGAGGAAATGACCTTATGTCCTTCCCCATAGACCGCAGCATGTTTCTATTGTCTATCAAAACCATTTGTTGCACCAGATCCGGGGATGGATGATTACGACTGTAGTCCTCTGACATTGTATCGTAGTGTTTTTTTCACAACCCCATCACATCATGCTGCTCGCAAAATACCAATATTGTTGCAAATAGCCTCCGCAGAGAGAAAGGCATCTGGAATAAAGTAGCTTCAGTTAGACATTCATCCAGTATATTGTCTTCTTTGATTAGACCCCTCCTTTCTGCAGCTTCACGGAACGAAGGTAGTAGCATGCCATCAACCGTCCTCAGATGTTCGTATGAGGTAGCACCAGCAACATTGTTCAAGAGAACACGAAGAAAGTAATGTTCTCCCTCAGCAGGATGAGCCGAGATGACTCTTCCAACTTGAAAAATGGAGTTTTTCCTTTTCTGCCAGAATTTACCATCATACTGCTAGGAAAAATGCTCCGGGAAGTCCCGATACAAGATTCCGCAGGCTTCCTCATGATGCTTGTTTGCATCGAAGTATGCTGTCAGCATTGACTCTTCTACACCTGGCCTATTAATGATCCGTTCGACCTTATCCCGTTTATAAAATGCCACCATGTGCATGTCGGGTAGATGAAGCTGCAACTGTTGTACTGGTGGATGGTTCTTGCTCAAGTCAAAGCCATATATTCTCCATAGTGCTTCTGGAGGCGTCACCGACCGGGCATCTCTATACTGCTTGATCTCATCAATGTTCCCTTTCTCGTCTGCTTTGTCGATCTCCCTCATCACCACCGATGCCCTGTCATGTCCCTTGTATATGTATTTGAATAGATACTTTACTGATTTAATGCTCCCACATGCCTCAACATTGATATGGCAGTTGAGGTACGTAGCAGGCAAGGGTTGTAAGGCATGACCCATTGATTGTCCAGGTAATGGCCTCAAACTTTTAGCGTGCGGCCATCATTGCGTCGCTGATAGATGGGGTACGAATCCTTTCCCTATGACGTTGCCTCACAGAATGGGCGCGGGTAACGGTTCTTGCATGACCCATAGCCCACCATGCACGGATAGTATGGATTTAGTGTCCCGCAGGGACCATGCATCATATGCTTCGTCACCATCTTATAGAGCTCAGGGTACTTCTTGTTTGGTAGCTCTGCACTGATAATCATGTCATATTGCTCGGGACATGTGAGCTTGTACTTCCGTTCCATTATCAGCAAGAAGTGTGCATGCGGCAAGTCACTCTTCTGGAACTCCACTACATATACGTAGGCCTTCACCTTCTCAAGTATGTCTTTCTCCATCAACATTTTTCTCATCGCCTCTAACTTTGCTCTGAAGACCCATGTGACGAGATCTGGGCGGTCCTGTGGTGTCTGGCCTGGATAAAGTTCATTCTTGATCTCATCCTAGTTAGGGTTGCACATCATTGTGAGGAAGATATCAGGTTTACCATACTTTCGCACCAGAGCCATTGCATCCATGTATCGGCGCCTCATATCACGGGGTCCTCCGATGAATGACGAAGACAGGACAGTACACCTTCCGACATTCTTAGCAAACCCTTCACCCGAATGCATGCTATCCACCAGGCCTTGGTATAGGTCAGCCCTCAAAGTATCCTGATTGTTCCTCATGTAGTCTCAACGTGAGCTCTCAATCTTGATGTAGGTGTCGACGGCGAACTGCTGGAAAAGACGCCAGTCATAGAGTATTGGATTAAATATCCCTGGCCACATCTGGAACTTGTAGCAATAGTAGTCGTGCACGGAGACACATGTATTCGAAACAGGTTCTATAGGGAGACATTGTTCGAATTAGTATTATGCGTTAACAGAAAAGAGTTTATATTGCATTATTGAAAAGAGTTCAAGTTACCTCCATCATCATCATCACCATTCTCGGCATTCTTGGCATGCCTTTTGCGGATTGCTCGATCTCGCTCAACTTGAGCCATAGTCACACCCACTTTTGGAATGCAACTGTGCCACCCGAGCTCACCCCTTGGAAAGAACAACGGGTATGACAGTGGGTCGTAGAATGCATTATATGAGCGGATGTCGTGTATAGACCGATCATTCCCTTGTAGGAGAACACTATGCTCGAATTGGCCATGACGCTCACTCCCCTCAACCCAGACGGCGGCCACCTCTGATGTCAGTGACACGTTATATGTTCTCTGGTCAAGCCGCTGGTCAAGGTTCAATTCGACCCGGTAATCCTCTAGATTTTCAACGTGTCCCATACTCCTTAGTTGCTGAGAGTAGGGATTCCTATTAAAGATACTAACCAATTGCTCTATAACTTCTTTGTCTTTTTGGGCGCATTGCTCACGGCACTTGCTCATCCGATGCTCAAGGGACGGATCGT